TAGAGATTACATACATAAATAGTAGACAAATCCATACTCAAAAATAGATTTATTAAGAAGCCCGCATTCATAGAAACCTAGTCCTAATTATATTGAGAAACAAGTGCACCGTTTTACAACTGTTTTTAGATGGACCACCTATTTGCATCCATCTTCAAGATGGATGCTTTATACCTCTAGGCCGCATTTTGTAGAAATACGGTCTAGCCCGCATAAAACAATTTTCTTAATCTTTAACATGGACATCATGAATATGAAAATAAAATAAAAGTTGAAAATTAAAAATAATAATTATATTAAGAAAATATTTAGACCGTTAGTTACAATTGTTTTTAGATGGACCACCTATTTGCATCCATCTTTAAGATGGATGCTTTATACCAATGGACCCCATATTGTAGAAATGCAATCCAGCCCTTATGAAACAATTTTCTTTCTATTTTTTGGCACGCACTTTCTCATATATTATTACCAGTCACTTTCCATGCTCATATATTTGCCATTGGGAGGTACTTGTATTGAGTTGAGGCACGAGGGAGGTTAGTGGGTAATATAAAACTAACCCTAATTTTCACTTCTAGCACACAAGAGAGAGAGAAGGATTTTCAGGAATTCTTTTTAATTTAAAATGGAAATAATGTGATTGGTGAGTGTGTCGATTGGTCGTAGAAGGGGTGTAAACATAAAGGAGTGGAGGGAGAGAAGCCTGGTGCGATGACGTATCTGTCGACTCAATATGCCAATTGGGAGTGCACCGCTCAATCTCTCTCTTTCTCTTATTTAAACTACTCAACCCACAAAAACACTTCCCCATCTCTGTCTCTCTCTCTTTACTGTTGAAACTGTTGATCCCTTCAAGAAACAAAACAAACAGGAAGCGAAGAGATGGACAAAACAAGCAGGAGGAGAAGAGATGGACGCCTCTGAAGAAAGGGGGTGGCTCTTCAGGTGGGTGAAGTCCGTCCAGGAGGCCAAACAGTACGAGGAGATGGTGCGTCACATGACTGAAATCGCTCACACTGCGCTTGACTATCCATTGAATTCACAAGAACGCACCATGCTTTACTCGGCATTTCAGTATCTCATAGAAGCTCCCAGACGTTCATGGCGCTACTTCTCAAACAAAAAAGAGGACGACGAGATACAACCTGGCGCCCTGGCCTGCATCAAGCAGGGTTCTTGCTCATCGAGTCTCAGATCGTTGTGATTTGTCGTTGTGTGCATCATCTTCTCGACTCTTACGTGCTGCCTTCTGGGGGCAGACGCACCGGAGGCGAGTGTGTTCTACCTGAAGATCAAATTTGATTTCTATGGGTATTTAGCTCAGCTAAAGTATGACTATCAGTTGGATAATAACAAAAGAGCTACCAATGAAGCCCATTTGTTCTACCCAATGTTCAATAAGGCGGAGGCGGCCGCTTAGGGGACCGGCCAGATCAAAACAACTGGTGATATTTTTTTTAAAAAAAAGATTTGGATCCCCCACACCCCCCTCCATTTAACGATATATAAAATTGTATGTTTTATTATTCAATTAGTAAATTTTGTATGTAATATATTGTTAAGATGCCGAAAGCACATATCAAACCTAAACATTTACAACTTTAGATTGTAAATGAAATAAATATAATTACATATCAACATTAAAAGATAAAATGAACTCAAGATTGTAAATGAAATAATTATAATTCAAAATCAACATTAAAATAATAATTCAAGATTCCAAATAGACAATAACATATAAAATATATGTAACAAAGTATCAAATAAAAAATACAAATAGAAAAAAATAACATCATTTGACATTAAGTGAAGAAAATAGAAAAACTAATGAAAACTATTGAAATATAACAACCTTCTTGAAGTGGACTCAATTTCGGGCCATACCGAAATGTATGGGATCCCAAATCTCCTCTTTTATAACCCCTATAATCCTAAAAAATATTGGGGTTGAATATCCTTTAATATCGTTACCATTCGACGATTTCGAAAGAAAATTAGATCTCTCAAAAAATCTTCAAATCTTGTTTATTCAAGTAATTTCTCTCTCTAAAGTTCGCTAAATTTGTTTTTGGGGCAAGAATGGCCCCCCCAAACAGTTATCCCCTCTTTTAAGGGGATAAAATGTCATTCTTTGCCTCTACCCGAAAAACAATTTCTGCCACAACCCTGCGTGCCGCCTAGGGGGTCTAGTTCTACCTTATTAATCGCCTAATCGGCCGCCCGACCACCTAGGTGGGCGCCTAGTTCTGGTGCCTAATTAGTTCTACCGTAACGGCTAGGCATTTTTCTAAAATAGCCGCCTAAGCAGCCAGATGGCTGACTTTTTGAACATTTGTTCTACCAAAGAGCGATGGTAATACTTATTTATTCTCAATATTTTCTTTTTACTGTATTCTTCATTTTCATGATGTTTCTTTTGTTTTATAAGAATCATGCAAAGGGACATTTTCTTTGTTTTATCATGTTTCTCTTGTTTTATAAGAATTATGCAAAGGAACACTTGGGCCCAGCTAACGCTACGAGGCTCTCGATAATTCTGAATTTTTTTGTTTTCACGAAGGAGATCCTCAATGCCGCAGCAGATGCCTTTGAATTGCCCAATGAGGTCAATGACCTAGCCATTTAATTTTTTGATTATGTATGATAGTTTGTTTCTAATTTAATTGATCAAAGCCCAAACAGGTGATCGAGGAAGGCAAATCGTTGATTGAGGCTTTGCCCAGAGATGAGTTATATGAAAGCGATCGCGTTATGCGTGACCTTGAACATCAAATCCTTATCACCATCCTCGCGAAGGTGTAATTCCCCTCCATTCTTGGTTTAATTTGTTTAAATTAAATTAGTTACAGGATGCGTGGACTTCTTGTTTACATTAGTTCCGCTTAAATTAATTACAGTTTGGGATACTTGTTTAAATTAGCTTTGCTTTGAAGAGGAGCGTGTCGTGATAGTAATTGGAGAGGCTTCCTCTTCGAACCCCATTGCAGAAGTGGTTGGCGAGGCTTCCTCTTAAAATGGCAAAGCATAAGTGGTTGGCGAGGCTAACCCCAATGGAGAAGACTTGCCAAATCCTCAAGTCCCAAATCTTTGCGATCTGTCGGGGTGTGCATCATCTTCTCTACTCTTACCTCCTGCCTTATGGGGCAGACTCACCGGCGGCAAATGTGTTTTACCTAAAGATGAAAGCGGATTTCTATGAGTATTTAGCTCAGTTAAAGGATGACAATCGGTTTGATAATAGTAAAAGGACTACCGATGAAGCCCATTTGTTTTATCAAAGAGTGATGCTAATACTTCTTCATTTTTATCGTTTTCATTTTTCTATTTTCATCTTGTTTCTCTTGTTTTATAATAATTCTACAAAAGGACATTTTTGTTATTTCATCATGTTTCTCTTGTTTTATAATAATTCTACAAAAGGACATTTTTGTTATTTCATCATGTTTCTCTTGTTTTATAAGAATTATGCAAAAGAACACTTGGGCCCGGCTAATGCTGGATCTCAGTAATTTAGAATTTTTCTTGTTTTCATGAAGGAGATACTCGATGCCACAATAGATGCCTTCGAATTAGCCAACGAGGTCAATGACTAGGACATTTGAATTTTTTATTATGCATGATAGTTTGTTTATAATTTAATTCATAAAAAATAAACAAGTGGTTGAGGAGGGCAAATCGTTGATTGAGTCTTTGCCAAGAGATGAGTTATATAAAAGCGATTGCGTTATGTGTGACCTTGAACATCAAATGCTTGCTATCATCCTCAAGAAGGTGTGATTCCCCTCCATTCTTGGTTTAATTTGTTTAAATTAAATTAGTTACAATCTGTGGGTGGTATACGACCAAGGGGCTAGATCCATAACTTAAAAATTTTCCATTCTATTAAAACATAAGGCTTTAAATACATGAAGAACTCAATACAAAACCATGATATATGAATTCCAGCCTTCAAAATTGGTTTGTACCAACCTTAATAAATAAAATTACAACTCTAATAGATCCCTTTCTCAAAATACAATTAAGCTCAATACAATGTCCAAATACTCAAATGTATATCTTTACAACACATTACAAAACTTTTGCTCAAATTCATCAATCTATAAAAATTACATAAACATCTCTTCTTCAATCTTCATTCTCATCATATGCCACATTGTATTATACACATCATATAGTTACTCATAACAATCAAATGAGATTTCCATTTACATAAACAATAGAGTCTAACATTAAAGCTCATGTCACAAGATTTTAAGAACAATTTCAATATTCACATAACATACTTAGTTCTATCATTCATTAATCACTCAATAACAGTAAATGTATCAAATTAAAATGCAAACAATCATGGAGGATGCCATGGTACGGACCCCTTGTGCTTGACCCATAATCGGGGCTTTTTAGGACTTAATTTTGTCCCAAAGATGAGTGCACGAGCGGTTATAAATATCTCAAGGGTATCTATCAGTTTGGGAAGCTTATACACCTTTACAAACACTTAATAAAGTCCATAATCAATGATAAAATCAACCCACAACTATTTGCAAACGGAACAAGAGAGATCCGATCAAAATCGAGCAAAACAATGTAGTATAGTCCACCAGACCACCAAAACAGGATTGTATGCAAAAGTGTGGACTCTAAAATATTCAAAGAGGTAATGGATCTCTCGAATTTGAAACTTGAGTATGAAAAATGCACCAAAAAATTCGTATATAGAAAATCAAGGGTAAACCCTGCTCAATCAAAGATTCACTAAGATGTGAAGCATATACTCAAGAGGATGACTACCTTATAAAAGGCAATCATAAAAATCACATGAAGAAAATGATAAAAGGATTACAAGCTGCTATAACTATAATTTACGGCAAGATTTGAAGTGGAATAAGGTGAACAACAGTAGTGAAAATCTCGATCAAGAGTTGCCTTGAAGATGGCTCAACACAGCTAGATCTCATGTAGTGAATGGTTGCCCTAAAGTTCCAAGTATGATCAATGGCTGTTCTATAGAGCCCATGGTAGCTCTTACTCTCTCTAGGTTCCTTCTTACTTAGGAAATTCGTTTTTTCAATATTAGGTTGAGTTGGGCCATAATATTGTGTTTATATGAAGTGTGCAAGTAGGATTAGATCTCAACCCTTGATACACATCATCAATGGCACATGAGAGGCCAATTATCCCTAGTCACTCATCCCCATCCGCCACTAAGTTGAAGGGATGAGATTTTTCATAATTATCACCCACTAAAACCCTAGGTCAAAGCCATATTTACCTTCTTGTCCTTAGCCCCATACTTTTATTCCAAATAAGTTGAAGTGTGCCTCGAAAAAGGGACAATTACGTACATATTCGTTATTACGAAACTACCAAATAGTTTCCATTATTACCTGTCTATCCACTTTTTTCACGTCAAAACGAAAATTTTAAAAAAGATAACTTTACCTTTTTTGGTTGTTGAACAACCGAATTCATAGGATTTTCGATTGGTCAATAATCGAAAATAGGCCAATTTTGGTTCTTCAATAACCTAAAATTTTGTATTTGTGGCCACGCATGGCAACACTTTCTCACTCTACATGCCCTCTCGCACTCTCTCTTTCTCTCTCTAACAAGCCTCCCTTTTTTTCTTCCAGTCGCCATCTCTCTCTACTTGCCCTCTCTCTCCTCAACCTACAGTCTCTCTCTTTCTCTCTCTCTACCCTCATCCCTCCTCTCTTCTTGCAGCACTCACTCGCAAATCTCCGCCCAAAATCCCCAAACAAAACCTCACTTTTCAGGCATGAGAGTTACACAGGTAGACCTTGGTGTTCTTGATGCTGCTCTTTACAAGAAAACCAAGGGAGATGAAGGGGAATCTCAAAGTTATGGATGCTATGTGCGGATGTAAAATTCATTCTTTGAGGTATCTTTCTCAAGCAAATGCTGATTTTGTGTGAGCTGATGGTAATGAAGAACAAATGAACACAATTCTCTCCAATCTTAAGCAAGAACCTAGGTTTTGGAAACATGAGTTTGATAGAGCTCACCAAAGTAGGGGTCATGGAGGAGATGGAAAGGGTGGGTCAGACGGGTCTCTAAAAAATAAGGTTTGTGATAATGTGTCTCATCAGATTGGGGTGTCTGATGATGTGTACGATGAATTCCAGAGAATTAGGGATGCAGTTAGAGAGAGAGAGAGATAGTGGGTGGAGGAGAGAAAGAGAGAGGGTTGTTAGAGAGAGAAAGAGAGATGCATACTTTTCGGTCATTGAAGAATAGAAATTGATCTATTTTCGGTTGTTGAATAACAAAAAATCGTATGAATTCAGTTGTTCAACAACCAAAAAAGAGCAAAGTTGTCTTTTTTTAAAATTTTCGTTTTGAAGTGAAAAAAATGGATAGAGAGGTAATAACGTAAAGTATTCGGTAGTTTCATAATAATGGAAACTATAAAGGATATGTACGTAATTTTGTCTTAAAAAAATGACCTCAATATTTATTTAATTCAAGAGTGTAGAGATTGTTCAAGAACAAGGGGCAAATTAGTAAAAGGTATTATGACATGGGAAAGGGAAAAACGTGGGTTATGACACCACCAATGGGATCATCCCAACCCACACCAATGAGGTGCATCCACATGAAATATTCACATGACATGTAACTTATGTGGATATTAATTTTAATAACTATTTTTATTTCAAAAAATCCCTTGGCTTCACACAAGTTAAGCATGTCACATGTGTGATAATTACCCATGTGATTAAAATTCAACTCTAAGTTATAACCAAATAATATAAGATTTGGAAATCAAATCACATATTTAAAAGTCAAAAGGGGATCCACGTCCAAACTAGAAGGAGGCCCAATGTGAGGAGGACATGGTGCCACGTGGCCACCCCATGGCCACTCGGGTGCCACGTGGCATCTATATGGACGTCCTCATTTATAATTAATATCAAACAATTTTGGAAAACATATTTTTATTGTTTTAAAAATCTAGAAAAATCTCCAAAAATCCCATTAAATATTTGAAACATATTTACATATTTTATTATTTCTCATCATAATTAAATCGGACTAAAGGTATATGTGAGATTTCAAGGCTTTGATTTAGTAACATGAGTATTCCATTGGGCTAGTCCCGAATGATGTTCCACCGGTGTCTCAAGTTGACCCAACGGACCTATGCTCCACAGTCTATGGCAAGGACACATAATTAGTCACATCAAAGTAATTGATCCAGAGCCTCCCACCATCCGGCTTCTCAATGGATTATAGGTGTACTCCTATGGAACATATTACTACTCTATTATATGGGTCCTCTCAAAGGACATGTGTACTATCTCTTCTAAGTTGGTTAATTCTGTAGAAGAGTGGCTTCCCCATACGACTGTGGGTGCACATGCCATGGAACGGTCTCGTGTCAGGATATTGGCTCATGTCTCATGAGCCGACCATTCCATATAGGGAGAATACTCTATTAAATACTCAGGTTCTATTATTCTCGATTGGATTCTTCATGCCATGGCTTATTACATCAACTATGAGGCATTCTAATAAATATTGTCCTGACTGGGGGGTGACCTTCACACCTCCCTAAGAGATTACTCTCTCAAAAACATGAACTCTCAATGCCTCATAAAACTCGGGGTAATATGAATCTGGGTCCCAGTACGCCAAGCACCTTGATTCAGTCTTTCTCTCTAGCTCCCATTAAGTGGAAGACTCTTTGCTTGAAGGCCTTGAAAGGCCACATAGGCAACACAGTTTGCATGGGATTCTTGTTTAAATTAGTTACGATTAAATTAGTTACAGTTTGGTATTCTTGTTTAAATTTGCTCTGCACTGAAGAGAAGCGTGTCGTGGAAGTGATTGAAGATGTTTCATCTTTGAACCCCCATTGTACAAGTGGTCAGTGAGGCTTCCTCTTCAAAAGCCAATGCAGAAGTGGTGAGGAGGCTTCCAATGCGGAAGTGGTTGACGAGGCTAACCCCAATGGAGAAGATTTGCTAAATCCTCGAGTCTCATATTGTT